TAGTTCATATACACATTCGATTGACGTGATATGACATCAAAGTTGTTTGTTAACTGTAAACACTTCAAAATTGTTGACTTTTTGGCGAAAACAGTTTTTCGTTTCTGAATATTCTTTATTTGAATTTTCTCCTTTGGCATTAAAATATTCTTATTTAAAGAAATGAAAGTGATGTCTTTGGCACCTCTCTAAAGAAATAGTTCCTCAAATGTATTCCACATCAAATTAGGTCTTAACAGATCCTTTATAGTTCATTTCATAAAAGTAGAAACATAAAAAAGTTAATTAATTTTCATTAATGTTAAGAATTTAAACATATAATCGATTAATCATCAATAATAAATTGAATGTCAATATTCGAGTAGGCTGTATCAAATAATTCCTTTGTACATTTATCGGGTGGGGTTGGCGGCATTGTTCGCGGGCTTCGACTTGTTGTTTGCGCGACCTTTGAATTTGGAACACGGAACGTTTTGAATTTTGCACGATCTTACCGCCCTCGCTGCATGTAGTGACATCGTCTTCGAAGGGAGGTACGTGTCAATAACCGAATTGTCAAGCCTTGAATAAATTCTTGTTTATCATTGTCTGTAATTTGGTTTTCCGCCATATTTTGAATAAAATGTACACAAATTAGCACTAAACAGAAACAAACTTAGTGTCAGAAATATAATTTCTTAAAAACGTTAGGCAAAACATGCGGAAAAATTAGTATTGAAAAGAAAAGTTATGAATAAAATTAACACGACATTGCGCTAACAGACTGCAGATCTCCACTAACTAGGAGGGGTTTGCCACAATCTCCATCTTTGCCCCTCTCCAGGCGGTAAGTGATTACAATTTAAAAGGCTTATGTTTATCAGATCATGTTGATATCCTATTCTTTGTGTTAAATGTGTAGTAATTTAGCCTCTTACGACACCCACTGCAAGATCAGAGGTATATTCTGCTGTCACTACTTGGCAAGTCACCGACACTTGCTTTGAAGTCCTTTTAAAAATAAGTATAAATAAATACATCCCTTCAAACAGTCACGCAATGTTGACAGTTTAAATATATTCTAATTAATTATTAAAATGCGAGTGTGCGTGCTATTAGCTAATCCGCTCCGTGATCATAAATGTTTTATTCACTTGTGATTCCAAGAAGGCGTGAAGAATAATGTTGGTTTCTGAAATACATATAAATAAGTATCATTTCTATTTCAAATACATAATAGTCGTTTTCCACATGTTACCGGGTAAAAAGTAGACTGCAATGACTATGTTTCATTTTATGCAGATCCATTTAATACTTATATATGAAACAGCAACAAAAATTTATCTCTTTTTTAAATGCAGTCTGCATGCATGACTTTTTCTTATGAAAATGTAGAAGCAAATGTATCCTTACATTATTTAACTAATTTTTGTTGCATTTCATTCGCACTGCACTTTCAGATAATGTATTACTTTCATAAAAGTTTATACAAGTAATGATTCGTTATGATTAAAAAAAAACTGTAATATCAGCACAACTCTCTGATTAGCTAAACAAAAAACCGACAGAAAAACCAAAGTATTTGTAAAAGGAAACCTGGCAACCCCAGTGCGGGCGTATTTTAATAAATGACGCCACATCACCCCGTCACATTCCTCGCGATTCTTATTTAACTGCTTGATTGTGCTCCGTTGTTTATTGTCACCAATATTGCAGTGGGGATCCTTTTATTTTGTGTTTAAAGTGTTTTTATAGCTTAAAGTGTTTGTATACCGTGCTATATAAACATATAAGTTGGTAGGAATAGTGGACAACTTTGAAATCACACTCTTTTGTCATTATAAATCGTCTTAAATCATTCTTGGTCACTGTGCTAATTTGGGAACACCTAATAATGTAGGGTAGAAACGTTATATTGTATAGTATAAATAAATAAACGCATTTAACAATATTTTTTTTATTTGGCCTTTAATGGGCTAAACCACAAATGAGTGCGTTCTACAGTAAATCTCTAATGAAAATTTTGTAGAAGAGCTTACAAAGCCATATTTAAAAAGCAATTTAACAAGAAATGTTTAAAAATTTACGATTTTCACCTTTATAGGTAGGAGCCTATTCACTAAAGAAGGTTTCTTTTTCACTTCAGTAATTCTAATTCAAAGAAACCTAAATCAGTTTCACATAAATTCAGGACACGTCAGAAAACGCGTGCCGACTTTAAAATCAGGAAGTCCGTCACCGTCTTACAGCTTGGGCTTTCCGTTCATTTGAATATCTGAGCCTTGAGGGTTCGGACACCGTCGGATATTACATTTGCTAACCCATTTGTACCCGTCGCTGGTCGTACGACGATCATTATCCATGTCCGACCGTCCTCCAGGGACCACCCTCAGGAATTTGTGTCCCCGCTGTCCTATTGATTCCCTTCACATTCGCTCCTCTTTAAAATTGGGCTGATAATAGATGTTATTGGAACTCGGAGGGCTTGACGCCTTTTATTACACGCACAGATACTACGCCATTATTGAGATTTCTGAAAATAACGCTCCTGTTCATAGGCGCCTACCGTACCCACTGAAGGTAATTTTGAAATATTATGTTTTTGAGTATACATGAGTCAGTGCTGCCTCAGCAGTGTTTACGTCGTTTATTATTAATATTAATAACAAAGCTTCATTTAATTTTGGTTATTTAACTCGTCGAGTACCGGTTTTATAGACACAATTAAAGAACAATAGGTCGCGGTCACCGGTGACCGCTTGGTGTTTGACAGTTTAAAATAAGGTACTACATATAATTATTATTTTTAACAAAATTCCAATTTTGAAATAATCTACTTATTATAATAAAGCTCATTCATCATAACGATAACAAAGAAAATGGAAGTGGAAAGTCAAATAAAATTCAAAATTCGAAAACCGAACGCAGTCGTACCAACTTAATCATGGTCCCAAAACAGTATTTTATAAAACAAAAACGTTTTCAAGTCCATCGGCGCGTGAGGTTTTTATTAAAAATATTGTCCGAATGCTAACGGACGCAGTGAAACAGAAACGGCTGGTGTAATGTATCTTTGCCCCATTCGGGTTCCTTTGTGAAGGGCATGGGTAACGAGCATTATCCACTTGTAGGGAACCCCTACACGATCCTACATGCTTTATTATTTACGAGCTTTACCCTTTATGTATGTTTTTACGCTAAGATTTTATTGCGAAGCTATTCATGAGCCAAATCCGGCGCGGAACCAAAACTGGGAATGAACTTTGATTGTTTATCTTGCGTGTAATACTTTCATTAGGTTAATGTAAGAACTCTTTGGTATTGATGAAGTTAGAAGATTATTTGTAACTCCTATTATTTCTTCGTTAATTATCTGACATCATGGCTGAATGTAAACATTAATACGTCTGCCTTTACCTCATATAATTTATCTATTTCTCAAGAACGCAATCTGCATGACCTGCGACTATGACCTATGCGATAAGATCTTCTGATTACATTGAATCAGTTATTTTAGTTCCATCAGTTTACCATTCATTATAATGACAGTCATCCCATAAACGGCTTGTTCATCACTACCATTAGATTCATCTATAGCACTTTTACGAGTTTCAATCAAAGTGAATTTGTTAAAAGACAGTAAAAGGCGTGTTGTTGACTCACCCCTAACCCGAATTAAGTTTAACATCCCAATCGACATATCGTGTTTCGCGAACGTATAACAGACTATTTGTACGCCTAGGGGATGTAGGGGCCAACGCTCTAAGCATTATTGTCAGCTATCAACCAGCCGAACTGTGAATGGGTTTGAAATTAGAACTTTGATGGTATACTGTTGATGTACAGGTTGGTTTTTTTTCTTTAATTTTTGTTGGTTTATTTTTTTTCTTTAATTAATTGATGTTGCTATTACTAAGTAGTTTTATATTGTGGACCTACAGTTGTTAATTAATAATATTGACTGACATGCCAAAACATATGTCGAGACAAACGTGTCCATAACCGTTTTTACGTAACAAAGTGTAACATTGTCAAAGGAAGAATATAAAACTGGATACAATTTTGTTTACTTCAATTTTGTCTTAAAATCCATAAGTCAACAGATAACAATATAAAAGCAACCCATTTTAAATTTCCTTCGTAATATAATACCGTGGAGTCAATATTAGCAAAGTACAAAGTCGTATGTTACAAAAATACTAATATTTTATTCTATACGCTTCATTTGCGACCCTACCCCGCTTGTCCCTGATTGTGCGTGCTTTCGCCACGCGGAAGTCACTTTGAAGCTTCACACACCATTGTCAATAAGTAACCTGAACAAAGTTCAAAGGTTTCGCCTCGGATTCTCTCTAGCAGTTCGTGATTTCATGTCAGTTTGAGTGTATTACAAATTGATAATAACTAGGCTTTTTATAAGTTTACGAACTTTTAGGTACAGATGTGCTACGTCAGAAAGATCACAGTGCAAATAGATATAAATCAATATTACAAAATTGCATTGAGATCTTTACTACGACAAAGCCGTTTAATTAAAAAAGCTAGATCAAAGAAGTAAAAAAGCTATTAGACTTTTTTGGTATAATTATTGGAGTGACTGTTTTATTCGTCCGAGGTCAGAACAACGAGTATGAAGTATTCTTTTAATCATAATTATACCACAAATGACAGGATGGAGGAAAAGTAGTATATGAATATATTTTTATCAGAAATGTATGTACAAAGCCACGAAACTAAGCAAAAGTGTCTGACATAGTCATAGCTTTTCAAATACATCAGCAACTATCCATGCTGTAACACTTTTGATTGCTAGATTTAACACCATAAACGTCTTTTTCTTTACAGATACAACTTGCCACCATGTCATCACAGTTATCCTCAAGACATTTGCACCAGAAGTTAATGCACTCTTCAATTTCCAATCAGCCTGTATCTGTCGAAGTCATGTGACGGTTGTGATCTTGACAAAAACTTTAATGACGTAATGTATAAGTGTGTATAAGTGGACAAAGATTGGGACGATGCATTTATCGAGTGAAGTGAGTTCGACGACGAACGGACTGGGCCATGAGGCGCCTTCGTCGAGTTATGGTAGCTCACTGCCGAGTCAGCCGCTGACGGCTGAGTTACTAGCTGAAAGGACCTTGGAAGGTCTTTTAGCTGATCATCCTGGAGAGTTGGTGAAGACTGGATGTCCTCATGTGGTAAGGATATCTTCAAACATTTTAACAATTTTTTTAATTATTCTTTTATTATTTAAATAAACGTTGCCCCACACTAGATTTTTGCAGTGTGCGTTTGGAAACATACAAGTGCACATACACATGACACCCAGACCCGAAACAACAATCTGTGGATCAGACAAAGAGTTGTTCCGTTCGGGATTCGCATTCGCGACACGTTGCGTGGCAGCCAGTTGACTACCCACCGCGCCAACCGTGCAGTCAAAATTGCATAAAATGTAATTCAAGTGTTAATTAATACATTGTTTCCAGCGTATTACAGATCTATATTCGTCTCTTCTAGGTGTGCACAGTCCTGCCTCCACATTGGCGATCAAACAAAACATTACCAGTAGCATTCAAGGTGGTAGCTTTAGGAGAAGTAGGGGACGGCACCCTGGTCACTGTCAGAGCTGGTAATGATGAGAACTGTTCTGCTGAGCTGAGAAACTGCACAGCGGTGATGAAAAACCAGGTTGCCAAGTTTAATGACCTCAGATTCGTCGGAAGAAGTGGGAGAGGTGAGTTTTAATATAGTTTTCTTATTAGCTGTTATTTATGTATTACGGTAGCACGCCTCGCTAGTTAAATAATATGTTTTCTGACGAATGATTATTATTTATCAAGATACAATCGTTAGTTAATATGAAGTAGTCAACTCTTTGAGTAAATATCGTATAGAAAGATATGTACGGTACATCCAACTCTGACTTTATCGTAACAGTAGATTTGTAAGTTCAATCAATCTCGTCTTCAAATCAACATATATAATACCTAATACCGAATAACTTCCGCAGATTCCGCCGCGTTATTAATTTAAGAGGTTATCGGAGCTCTGAACATACCCACGTAACCTGTTTAAAGATTTATGGCATAGATTTTCGTAGTAAGGGCCTTAACAGATCAATTACCCCCATTGACTTAATATTCCAACAAAGCGAAGACCTGTTGAAATATTCAGAAGGCAAGGCGCCCCGAGCTTTGTTTTTGAGTGCTCACCCACGGGAGAGGGGGATTTTTTATGAGTAGATGTCTGCATTATCGTAAACATTCATATATGCTCACAATTTTATAGCTTCATAGCTAGAAACGTGAATTTTTTATACATTTTTTTATATATTTTTTAGTCTCTGTTGAATTAGAAGTCTAATAGAAATAGTTCACTATCCATGTTGAAGTAGAAAATTGATTAAAATTGTAAAATAGAATAAAGTGTCATCATTTTTTTTCTTACACCTACATTAATTCTAGACGTCGCAGTTTAAACAGAATACTCATTATTAAAGTCGCGGAGAACCTAACGGGTAACCGGGGCTCCGGCTCGACGTGCAGGAGAAGGAACGGGGTGGTTTTTAGTCAGTAAGAGTCTGACACTCCCTCCCGCCTCACCCAGGCGGGAGCAGTCATTCGATGATTATCCCACCTTAAAAAAAAACTCATTATTAAACCAATATTCAGCACGCAAGCCTCTGGATAGGTACTATCCTATGAGGACTTTTTTGTTAATTAATATCAAAAGCATATCATTTGTATATATCTATTACTTTAATTACATCATCATTAGCTGCTCTTTTTCTAGTTCCCAAGTAATACGTAGTAAGTAGTATAACACAAAGTTCAAATAGTAAGTATGTATAGTGGGTGGTAAAGTAATTGCGCGGTCAACCGCCTTTGAGTCGCGACGTCGACACTTGTGGTGATTCTGTGAGCGATAGTGGCCGATTAGGTGTGCCTACTGGGAAACTCTGCATTGAACTTAAGTTGTAAGAAAACTTACTAAACTAAAAGGTCTCAACCTCAAGTAGCTCAGGTTAACATAATGTTTTTGGGTCTCGCAGTAAGAGGTAGGTAAATGATAAGCTAATACCCACTAAACTGTCGCGGAGAACCTAACGGGTAACCGGGGCTCCGGCTTGACGTGCAGGAGAAGGAGCGGTGTGGTTTTTAGTCAGTAAGAGTCTGACACTCCCTCCCGCCTCACCCAGGCGGGTGCAGTAATTAGATGATTTTCGCCCCTTAAAAAAAATACCCACTAAACTATGTGACTAAAGAATTGTATTGTGAACCTGATTAAAAAAGAGTAATCTATGGAGTTTCTTGTTCATTCTTCTCCATAGGAATCTACACTTTGGAATGAGCAAATAGCTTCACGATAACCTATATTTTTTGTTGACGTCCAAAAGTGCCTTTCTGGTCTAATTGAAATAAACGATTTTGATTTTTACTTTGACTTTGACATTATGCTAATTCAATAAGCTTGGAAAACAGCTGTTTTATATAGCAATATTGAATGTAGTACTTATAATTCAGTACTGACTGTAATAATTTCATTATAATTATGATTTTGAAATGGACTAGTTCAAGGTTCAAGATTTTAAAGGATTCAAATTCAAACCCAGTGTCTCAAGTATTCATAATAACTATCGAGGGACATACTAAATTAACTATGTAAAAACCAGTACCAACCAGTAGGCTGCGCGACATCGCCGCGACCGCGCACGCTGCTCATGAGGAAGAAACCCTCTGTAGTTCGAAACTAGTAGAGCTTTTCTCAGTATTTCCACAATCTCCAGATTGCATTCCGATAAAGATTCCGCCATTTTACTGTTTTCGTTAAATCTAGGATAAGTAATAAAGCCAAAGCTAGTTCTTTTAGAATAAACACTAAATAGTGGTTTTATACGACTGATAATAGTTTCCTACAGATATTTGTACAAATGTATATGAGAGAGCAAAATATGTTTATTATCAAGTTCATACCAGCTACAAATTAATCTTCAACAGGAAAATTGTCTTTTTGAGTGGATTTGCTACCAACCTCCGAGATAAACATTGTTAAAGTTGGTTTATTACCTCAATTAGCCAATCAGTCAATGAATAGTATTAAAAAATGCACTTATTATGTCCTACATAGCCTAGTAATGAACGCAAATAGTGGTCCCTTAATGTATCAAGTTCTGCGGATAAGTAATTTGTACTTAATCGTTGGCGCACTTATAGCACTTCTCATTTGCGGATCTCTTTACAGTTTGAACTGATACTCTTTTGTTTTGCCTCATTAGTAAGCAAAGCACGCAACTTAAGGGTATCTTATAAGAAAAAGAGGATTTTAAGTGAATCTAGGTACATTTAGTTAAAAAAATGTGGTTTGTAGTACCTTAGATAAACAAATGCAATGGATAGATGAATTTGAAGATATTTTAAAGTTACAAAGAAGTAAAATAAGAATGTATGAGCTATTCAAGACTTTGGTGTTATCATTCCAAACTTATACAGTTCATATCTAAATATATATGGTATATGTTTTTAAAGCGTAATTATCTCAGCGATAGTCGTAGTTACATATGGCGAAATTTTGAAAATATAACACTACCAATCATTCAGTATCATGTTACATTATTCAAATTCCACAACCTTCAACGTAACTGACACCAGAATTAACGTAAACATAGGATCGATGTAAATGAACAACGGTGCGGAAACGAACTTTAACTTAGGGTAACAAATAAGAGCATACGAACTGTAAACTTGTCGCGTCTCATATTCAAATAGTGCAGGGAACTAACGAGGTAGGGATGGGGTAGTGTTGCCAAGATGCTTGGAAGAAAATTTTACGTAATACGTCACCCGTGTCACAGTGTCGTGTCGATGACGGATACACAGCGTATACGGGGTAGATTGTTTGTTTTGTATAACCATGTTAACATTATGTTTACGTTGTAAATTTAGTAAAATGTCGTGGAAATATGTAGTTTTAGGATCGATTTTTCAATCATCAATTAATTCTTAACTGTAGAATAAAATTGTATTTTGTCAATTTTTAGTATGGGAGATTTGTCAAATATTCGAAGTAATTCCTCAGTAAAAAATCAGGAAAAATCGGCCCTTAGTAAGATGTTTTAAGCCACTCGTGCTTCTTATTGTCATTTGTAAATATATCTTTACAACGTCAACTCCTAAGCTATTTGTACGGACGTTAATTTCCCCCGCGAAGTTGATAGACGCGTGAAACATTAAAGTGGATTTCAGTCCGTATTGTACAAATATAACCTTCATTAAAAATTCCTTAAACAAACAAAAGCTTTCGGCTAGCGTGTACACGAAAAAAACCAATATAGCCCAGAGCGGCGGGAAAGTGGAAAAGAAGTTAAGAGGTGTCTATTTGTCACGTTCCTTCCTGAATAACGCTCTGCTTTCCAATTAAGGGTAAGCGCTCTCTTTGTTTATCTTAAATTGCGAGAAAATCTCACTCAAATTATCGGGTAAAAAAGACAAAGGGGGATCGCTGCGGAACATAACTTTTGCTTCGTTCCGGGATAAAAAGTTGCGTATCCAACGCCGAGGGACGGGGCGCGGGGAATTTTTAATAAGCGAAAAATTTAATGAGGGCCCCCCGACCACTTTTTTGCCACGGTTTGCCGTGTCAGCTAGCCCGGCGGACCGCCTTTATACTTCGTATTGGCCAAGAATTATTAATTACTTGTAAGATCTTTTTTTTTGTTACCAAATTATGTTGAAGCTTGTGTAATATCCAATTACTTAATAAGGAATATGATGAATCTGGATAAAAGTAACTAAGGGCGAGTAATTTTTGACTATCACTATTGATTGATTAACAAACTTAACTTCCTTCAATATAAAATCATTCATTATTATAATGGAAGTATAGTTACAAGTATAGAACATCCGTACAATTTCCACTGATGGCTGATTTAAATTTAACCTTACCTTATTATACCCTCGAGTGGTGTAGTAAGAGGCCAATTTACCGCACCAGTAGTCAAGGAGCGCCATCTGCTAATCGATTGATTGACCCCACCTTACGGCTAGATACGATAAAAAATGCGCCCCTAGTCTCATTTGTGCTCGATCTCCTACGCAGTCTCTATAATTGCCTTTTAGATTGTACTTTAAAAGATTTTAGGTGACGTCTTACTTACTTATATGTGGGTATTTATCGGTATAAAAATCACAAATATGAGTAGTTCGAAAAATGATTAAATAGAAGCATTATTTAAAAGTACCATTTTTGTAAGTAATACATAAATACTTACTTAAGTAATGTTTCCATATTCGATGAGAAAATTAGTATTATCGTTCCTTGAAATCAGCATTAACATTTCACGTACCTTTGTCTGACAATGACAAGTAAACAAACATTCATAGCGTCATCTTTGAGCTGGTAACCTCTTGTAACAAAGGTATGTAGTTAACCAAACATTGTCGGTAGAACACATTAGTCTCTCACGGCTGCAGACTTCACCCCATCCGCACCTCCAGGAAAATTATTTTTGTATAGAGAGCGAAAAATTTCTCGACCTCACCTTTCGTTATTAACCCGAGACCCTCCTTTGATGCACTGCCCCTTACAGCTAATGATTTCTATCCCACTCTGTTATTTTGAAAACCTTACACACTATGTTAAAGGATGATTGTGCATGTAAATTAGCGTAGAGGGCATGTTATTTGAATACTCGAGGTTTAATATGGTGAGTGGTTTAGTAAACAGTTTGTTTATAATGATTTGAATGCGGATAAGTCTCATCAGAGATCAACTTTTAAGATACTTAAAGAGTTTCCAAAGTGATAATTTGTTTGGTGATGTAAAAAATATCTAGACAAAGTCCCAATGTAATTTTTGACACGGAAAACTGCTATCGCTGCTTAAGATGAGCATCCATTTTAATTTTTATTAATTTAAAAGAGCATCATAGGGTGAGTGCAAAAAATTCATAAGCGAAATTGAGACGGTCTTGTGAGGGAGATGAAGATAGGAATCTCTTTAAACTAAAGTAGGACAGCGCAAGTTTCTTTTCATTTTAGTCCGTCTTTTTGGAGTTGTTCTCTTTCCGTTTTTAATTATTGAACCACTCATTCCTAATTATTGTTATTAGCGTTGGGGAGAGTGGTGAAAATTGAGGGTCTCGTCTCGCAATATTGACCGCTCGGCTCGTTCGGCGGATGCTTCCTAGGGGACTGTTTTTAATTGTGCACGCTTTTGACTTTTCCTCTTGTTCTTTTGAGACGCCTCAATAAACTTGGATTTTACGGTGTCTCGCTTGTATTAGTTATTTTATTGGTTAGGGAAGAAGTTTTATATTGCTTCCGAGATATAATTCAATATACTTATACGACCGTGGCTTCTGGTTCCGCATTGTTTAGATATTTATAGCTACGTGTCAGAGATGTATACATGTGTATCTACGTTCGCAGTCAATTCGCTAATGTGTCTAATGCGTATCGGTTGGCTTTAGGTATTTTATATCCAAATTGCCGCTGTAAGCCGAAAATCCCCCGTAAGCCATGAAACCGAGATCAAAGGAGCTCTCTGCCATTACCATTGTGGCTCATTTTTTATTTAGCTCGCGAACGGAGAACTCTTATCTTAATGTGCCTCCCGCCTACTTTATGACGTTATAAAGCTGATTTTTAATCCGACGTGAACGGGAAATTGCCGAATTTGAATTTCGAACCGAACTTGAATTTAGAATAATATTTTAACTGCTATCAATTTTGTAAACGTACTTCTAAGCTATTTATGAGTTCGTTAAGCATTTTCCTATCTATTCAATGAAACTATTTAAAGATTCAGTTTTCTTTATGTAAATTATACCATAGTACCAAGTAGGTAAGTACTATGTCCATAAACTTAATTCACTTCATTGAGCTTAGTCCTTAAGCTGCCACAGGAAAAAATGTTGCCTAGTTTCGATAGATGGCGTTGAGTGTCCGAAAAACTAACTGACAAGTTGTTATCACTGAACCAACTAATACCACGTTATTAAAATTTACATTAAATTAAATAAATGAAGAGAGATGATGTATTTTTATATGGCTAGATTTTTTTTCAAAAGAAAAATAAAAACAAAATTAGTATTTCAGCCCCTTGATATTTCGGTTCTAAACACAATATTTTTAAGAACAATCAGTGGCTCCCCCTCGTGGGATCAATACACACAGTTTTATGAAGTGTGTAGCACGTGCAAGTGCAATATGTTAGCACGCGGCGTCAGGGGGTGGGCAGAAAGGATTTTTATGAATAACTAAATGATTTATGGAGTTACAAAACTTCTGTTATTTTGTTTTCTGAAGGTTATTTGGAGATTGCAAGTCTATTGTATTGTTGAAGGAAATTGTTTTTAATGAAGTGCTGAATGACCATAAATTAAGTGAACGTTTTTATTTATGTATACAGATCTTTTATTCAACCGTTACGTTTCTAAGCGAAATAGCAACGTTAGTCTGAAAAATACAAATAAATCTCTTAGTAAACTGTAGCTTACTCAATGTAAATATTGTGAGTAATAAGAAAACGTCAAGATAAATTACGTAATAACTCTCAGAAAAAAAAGTTTCAATAACAGTAAGTACGTAATTATTTAGCCTTTGACATAGAGCAGTCAATAACTTGGTAGTCTATAAATACTAACTGGCGTAGGGTCGTAGAGAGCAGTACAAGATGCGGCGTGGCATGTCTCATGTAGATTCCTTGCCTCCATTCCATCCATATTACATAAGTAGTCGGAATGGGTAATTCGTATCTCCGTCCCAGAGACAATAAAACTTTTCTTTTCTCCGTATATTTGCGCAAAAACAATTTCTTGGTCTCTCTCTTAAGTTCTCGTCGAGTTTATGCGGGTTTTATGAAAATAAGCGGGTGGCCGCTCATTTCGGGTCGGGGGGTGCGGTGGGGCCGCGGGCCGCGGGGGAGGGTGTTTATGTCGTTTTCATGGCTCGGAGGACCACCGCCGCGGCTTTTGGCTTCAAGCCAGACGCTGGAAATACAAGTCTCTCTTTTGTTTTGCACGGAATGTTATCTCGGTACGTTTCTTTTATTCAGAATATAATTTGGGATCTAAATATGAAATCTTTCGTTGTTTGGCTTGTTCGCGGAAAATAGTGTTTACTACACGTTGTTTGCGTCGCTCCTGCTTTACTGCAAACAGATAAAATCCAAAACTAGGTTTCTAACAAAGCAATCCGTTTGTTTATTTTCGTTGAATCAGAACGTTGGATATTTTATCACGTTTCAACAAAGTTAATACATTTATACCTACAGCGTACCAATTCATATATTCCCACAGTCTATAGTTTCTGTGTTGTCTATAATTTGTTCCAAAAAACAGTGCAGTCAATTCGCGTTAAATACAATTATTTAATTAGAGTCTATGATCATTCATTACGGTGGGGGTGTAGAATGTCAACCGATGAACTTTACCAGAATTACCATTTGGTATGTGTGTCGATACGTCCGTGATTGTTCAAACGCTTGGCGCCGTGTTTGTGGTCGTTCTGCGGTGGATGTGTTACGATGGCATTTCGACTACACTACTCCTCGCTTACCATCGTTATATAGCACGCTAATATCCAATTGTTAAGCATCCATTGCTTCCATTATCCCTACGCTACACAGCAGAATGGTACATTTACGGCAATGGTTGTTGTTTAGAATATTGCATCATTACGTGACGTCATTGTCGCGAGTTTCAACACTTATTAAGTGATAGGATGGCTGACGACCACATTTACACAGTGCTTATCATTTTGTACGTTGAGCGGTTGTGCAATAGTATGGCAATAGCCGTGTGTCGGTATTTGTTCATTCAACCTTTAGAAACCAATGTGTGATTATAAACTACTGACGTCAAAATTAACAAAAAACTACCGCAATCTACTTCTGTTAGGTAATCATGAGTAATCTAATTAATGATATACTAATTAAGAAATGTAAAGTTAACAAATAATTCACTATTGTCATAACATGTATGACAAAAATGTCTGCTTCTATAGTGAACTTAATTTTCCAGTCAAAGTCCGTTTCATAGAAAATGGTTTTAGACAATAAACAAAGCTTTTGCAATCAACAACTTACAATAAAAAAGAACAGAAAAAATGTTAAGGAAAACGTGGATATCTTAGTAAATTTGGTCGTAAAGTAATCCGTGTGTTCGTGACGGCATGCGGGGTACGATTGCGTCGGCGGAGCTCCACAAATCAACCGCTGCCGCCGCCGCGCCCGCCGACGGCAACCCAACGGGTTTGACGACTTCCCTGCAAATTCTTTATACATTCCAGGGTTGAAAGTTGCTAGATGGTTTTCGAACGTGTCTCGGTAGCCTATGTTTTGGTTGGTGGAAAAGGGGTTTGTTTTTAAAAAGGAAAAAAGGAGTTGACTATATTTACTTAGGTTGGCAAAATTCGAGTCGTTTGAAACTATGAATGTTTCTAATAAAGCAATTATTCTGAGATATTAGTTACATGAGAACAATGTAAGAACACGTTTGACGCATTATAAATTAGTAAATTACAAAACTTACTAAAAAAATAAATAAAACAAAACAGATAAAAAATATTTCATAGTCTAACATAGTGCTCGTTACAATTAAATAATTATTGATATTTGTTTGTAATATTATTCTACAGGTAAATCATTCACCCTGACGATAATGTTGGCGACTTCGCCGCCTCAGGTGGCGACGTACCAGAAAGCCATCAAGGTGACGGTGGACGGTCCTCGTGAGCCAAGGTCCAAGACGAGGCATCATGGCTTCCACCCCTTCCACTTCGGGCCCCGATTCCCACCTGATCCCTTGATGGGGTCACTACCTTTTAAGTTATCAGGTAATTAACAACACCTACTAACTTGTTTATAATATCTTTCTTTATCAATTGCCTGCTTCGTTGGCCAAGTGGTCCATTGCCGGGCAAGGGGTCTCGGGTTCGATTCCCAGGCAAAGTATTTTTTAAAAAATTCTCAGTAGTAGCACGGAGTCAGGAATTGTGCCCGGTATGTGGCAATAAGCTCACCCCCTACTACATGGGACTCATAACATAAATATTGAAAGCTGGGTGTTACATTGTAAAGTGGCATAATGTGCACCTCTGCCTACCCCTTCGAGGATAAAAGGCATGATGTTATGATGTTATGTTCTTTATCAATTGATAAGCAAGTTAAGTTTTAATGATTGAAGTGATGATATAAGTTTCTAGGATGAAAGTAATGCATAGATATTTCTGTCTAAAATATATCAAACTGTTGACATCAGGTCACCGATTTTGGAATATATCTAACTTTAGCACATTATTTAATGTCTTTTAAAGGAACCAAAATAAGTACAGTACAGTGATTTAAAATATAGACAGAATAAAAGGAAACGCAATTACGTATACATTTCTAAAAAAATGTACAGAAAATGGTTATATTTAGATTTGTGTTTTTGCCTTTGACGAAGTATGTCGCGCCTCTCTCTCTAAATATAGCCCAGCGTGTTTATGACGTGTCTTCAAAGTTGAGTTCTGACCTGCCCCCTATCCCGGCGAGTCGCAGCGATGTTTCTATCCAAAAGATATTAAATTGTCAGCCGGGACCGTTGTCACTCGCCTGCGCCTCAAAAGGGGATTTAATTCGGTCGAGAAGTTTTGCGTGACAATTAATTATCAATTTGGGGGCCTCCGCTTGACACCTGCGAGCACAAGACTCGTGCTCTAATATTCAAGAAACATTAACAATTTTCGAGTTTCTTAAGTTTGTTAGTGACGTGCTGGGAGATTATTAAAACCGTTGTTTTGAATAGTTAGTGTTAGACTGAAATAGAACGTTTCATATTTTGTGTAGGTACTTACAATTCATTTCTGCGGCCTTTTGTTATTTTCTTCCTCGTTATTATTTACTTGTTTAAGGATTTGTAATTTTGGGTAATCAGTTACAATTTCGATGATTACATACACCCTGAATACTATCTAAATATTATTAGGATATACTAAGTAGGCATTTCTTTATGTAATAGACTATAATATTTATTTAAAATTAACTATATATAATAATAAACTAATAAATATTATAGGAAATCATAAGGTAACGTGAAGAAAAGCATATTAAAAATATCTTATATAGAAGTCAAGATATATGGCAGGTGAATGAGATTTCCCCAATATTGTGACGAGACGGCCGCCTAGCAGGGTGCCGCCGTCGCTAGGCACCCGCTCCCTTCTCCAGCACCTAATAAACACCGTTGTAATTATGTGCTAGATTACTATAGATAGACATTTTGTAGATTTTTTATAGTAGAGTATTTATAGTAGTAGTACTTGCCAAGTTAGCTGGATTGTGCATTGAATTTGGTTGTCGACTTACCTCCTTTTGCACAAATTGACGATTGATAAGATTTAGAGCTATTATACCTAAGTAGCTGGACATAAAGATTACTATAGACTGGCATCAAGTAGCCACAATGCTACACCGCGGGCACCCACCTACTAAACAAGGAGATACTCCTTGGCCTTGATTTCAATTATCCTATTCAATCAAGGAATAAAAGGCGTCATCAATCCTACATTGTAGGACATCTATCCTCTTTATTCAGGTTTTTCTAAACTAGGATGGGCTCGATATAAGTATTAAACTTTAAAGAATTATTATTTCACATAGAGCATTTTTTTACATATAAGGAACATACGTACACACACCATTCCTTAAATCCCAACAACAAAAGATTAAGGCGTTCAGGTTACCAGTCGACTTGTAACGTTTATCGCTTGGCAGTGTGCTCTCGTAGGCAAGGCAAGTGTCGTGTCGTCGCAAACCTCGTTACGTCGAGTGTCAAAGGGCTGTAACTCAATTACACAGTACGTAGGTGCCGCTACCCAGCCGTGTCAAGACACCGGAATTAATGCTTGCTAATTTACTTACGATTTTTTTATCGGATCTATAATTAGAATGTGGATTTGTGATATTGAATTTCTTATCTATATATGTATGGTAAATAAAATTGAAGTGTCTGTTTGTAATATTGAATTACTTACCGCTTTTTACTATATGCATAAATAATACTTTTTACAATTTTTGTCTGTCTGTCTGTCTGTTTGTACTGGCTAATCTCTGAAATGGGTTAACCGATTATGACGGGACTTTTATGAGCAGTTAGTTAATGTAGGTACCTACTTAGGAGTAACATAGGCTACTTTCATTTTAGAAAAACGCAGACTACGCGTTCAGCTAGTTGTTAATAATTGTATGGTATTTATATTTAGTAACTAAATGATAATTTAGAAATAAGAGAAAATGTGGATAGGGTATATATCGACTATAGTCAGAATACTTCTGTCTGTCCCTACAGAAAGTAAGAGGTCTAAATCAAATGTAAGGATAATTATTTATTGTTTAATAACAATAAACCATAATTATGTCATATCAGTTAGATTGATACTGTTAAGTCTCACAAAAATCATGAAATACAACGGTCGATTTCTTTTTATCTGTGATTGCAAATAGGCGTAGAAATATTTAAACTAAGTCGATCACCTCTTTCTAAAAAGGTAAATCATCTTTATAACTATGTTTTTATAATAACTATCGTGGGATATACTAAATGAATAAAAAATCGCGGGTTACTCACGTGAACATACCGAGTAACTCGCGATTTTTAGTTAATTTAGGTTTAGGTATTATCATTCATAAAGACCCAAATACTACTAGCTAATTATTAATTACTTTGAACAGTAACTATTCTCCATTTTCTCATTAAGCCGCGTATGCACATTATAAGATTACTTCAACGGCGGCTTCTTTCATCGTGGGGCGTCGACTTGCTTTGTTTCTCTTTAGAAACAATTTAGCGAGCTCTTCAATATGTAAATTCCACGCTTCGCGGCTGTTCTGACGAGCGGAGGCAGCTCTCTACTGCCCTCTTACCGGCACCAATAACCCTTGTGAAATCATGATAAATTATCTACACTCACGTTCGCGCGTACCTCTTATAGACGCGAATTTGTTACAGATCTTATTAAATATGGATGTGACTACTTGCAGTGGAATATTTTACGAAATAATGGTACTAATTTTAAAATTACGTAAATGTTGTGTCGCTAAAATTACTCTAAAAATAAGATGGCCTCAATTTTATAATTTTATTTACTGTTAGCTCCTATTGGAATGAGGGAAGTAATATTAGGAAATATTTATAGTCACGCAACAAACGCATTATCATATGAAATTAAAATATATTTTACAAAGGTTAAAAGAAGTAAGAATGCTGTTAAAAATTCAGTACATCTTGACTTTTGTCTAATTGGTCTAGACATGTAGTGACGATCCATTTACGTACATCTGTGTATCTCACGTCGCCGTGTGAGCGCCACTTAAAGTCGCAGCCTTCGCATTATTAATGAGGGAGTCTTAGAGAAAATTAAATATAGCATTAGGCCCGGAAGCCCGGGATTGTGGGGGCCAGGGGGGAAGAAACGGGGGCCACATAACCCTTCACTGCTCGCGACAATGCGGGTGCATAATTACGCATTTGTAAATTTTAAATGTCCCACCCACCTCATACAGCCTTTTGTATGACGTGATTCGCGCTTTTACTGTACATTTTAAACGGTTTTAAATGGATTCGTATGATGATGACTCCTGGCGATTAAATCTAATTGTGACGTCAGTTTTTATTGACTTGCTGTCGGTATGAGAGCTTGAATACTTACAAAATTAGCACTGACACAACTTCATTATCATTTATATTTGAAGTATTTAGTATTTGAATATTTACGTTAAAGTTTGACGTACCTATTTGTTGAATACTAGTTAAAAGTTATACAATAGATACAAAACGAGGGTCAAAGTTTTAGAACAATAACTAATTAATCGTATCTATCAGGTAACCCAAGTAACCTTTACCGTAAACTCCCTTGTCACAGCTACTTTTCTACACCGAAAGGTTAATTAAGCAAAACAAAAAGGGGTTAAACAAAATCAATAGAAGCAAATTCATTAAACGCTAAGCAGATTGAAATCCAACATGGCAGCCAAGATGGCGCCGGCGGGTTAAGGCGCGTTGACAAAGCGGCGTCGTTAGTTCACGAGCCCTCTTATTAACCTTATGATGTACGGAGGGCATCCGTCTTGCTAACTCCCGGCTGTGACGTCAGCCCTTAGCACTAACTACAAGCTTATGGTGTCATAAGTTACGGTGTGGAGCGAGCTGGCTCAAGGCAGCCTTGCGGGGAGCAGTTGCGGCCTTCACTGTGGAAATTGATGCCTTGATCTTGCTGATTCCCCTTAAAATTGGTATATCAGAGAAACAGCTGGTATTAAAAAACATGTTCCAAGTCTTCCTAAATACCACTTCTAAATTCAATTTTTCAATTTTACACTGTATCTGCTTGACTGTCCTTATAAACTCTGTATTCTTTATAAACATAGATATTTATATTTCCAAAAAGGAAAACCTACGAATTCATGCTTTCAATCTGATATCGTTTTAATAAGTAATACCTAGTAGTGTTGCTGACATCTGCTAGAAAATTAATTATAGGTTGTTAGATCAGCGGGATATTATCAAATTACAGCATTTCTTCATAACATTGTGGACACTAGACATCGAATTCCAAAAAGTTATCATTAAATTACCCATAAAGATACTTAAGAAGAAAATGTGCTTAACAGATCACAAAGGCAGTATTGGTCTCTGTATAAGACATTTCAATTGTAGTTGTTTCAAACAAAAGAAAAAAGGGAAGCCGCTCAACTAAGTGTTCTATAAACGATGTTCGAAGAAATGTAAAATAATTACTGGAAAGTGCTTCCAACCCTTTCTCTAATCACCGAGGGTCTCAAAGAGTCGTTAAAAAATTCCGCCCTAATCCCGGCACATCGGAATCACACTAAAAACGTAAATACTTTTATCCGTGTAATCCCAGTCGTCTTCGCGGATTAGCGCTGTAGTATCGGGCGGCGGCGAGAAAAATGCAAGACGCAATCTAGCAAATGGCATTAAAATGTTTGGGTTCAACCCTCTCGCGGCGCGGCGCGATTTTTCAAAGTCGAAGAAAAAACCCCTTCGTCCGGGGCAATGTAGCGGACTGGCACGTCTTCGGATGCGGCCAATCCACTACTACTGGGAGCAAGAGGTTTTGGTACTTTTGGTGAAAATGTCTTATAAGACATTTCTAAAATTCTGTTTGTACTCCGTAGAGTACACAAGTCATTTTTATCTTATGCGTCACCATTTAAGATAATGATGCTTGTGTTAAGGTATTTTATCAAATCTGTGAATGAATTTGTTCGTGCAAACTGCAACTGTGTACGATAAATGCAATGGTGCAAACATATGACACACATAAAAAGATTGACAGGTACAAATTAAAAAAATAACATCACTTAGGTATACGTTGATACAATAATTCAGATCCGCGCTCAACACTATTAGATCGTGGTACGCAGCGATTACGCATCGTGCACACAACAAAGAATTCCAACATTTTTTAACGAATGCAAATCGTCTAGTGCTACCCTTTCTTGTGAATCTTTCAACGGAGAATACATAATAAAACAATGTCTTACCACTTTTCAAGTGGCTTTTAGAACTTTTAGAAAATACTTTTGTTTCTACCTATAAAATGATTTAAGTTTTCAATAACCAAGTAGTGATTTATTTTTGTGTCTGATCGTTAATTGTAACCTAATATTTTGTAGGAAAAAGTACACGTATTAGGTATAATTTTTATTGTCTGAACATGCCCTTTATAAAACTATATTATACTTATTGGAATTGGAGTTTGACATTTTCTACACTAATATTAGGTATAAAGAGGAAAGATTAGATTTTTTGTTTCGGTTCAAAAAGAAGAATAGATCCTTTAATAAATTTAATTCACACATTATAAGTCCCACTTATTAATTTAATATATAGTTATCTAACACAATTAACAATTTAGCAAAATAAACTTATAGTGAAGAATAAATAGCTCTTCTATTCCACAAACATTCTTCTCGACTCTGTGAAGAATAATCCGGGTTCGCGAGCCAGCGAGTAATCTTGAGCTTTAATGTAATTTTTTTGCGTTCCGAGCAATGCGGATATTGTCTGAGCTACGGATGCTCTTAGCTAGAAGAAAGCTTTGAATACCGAGTGCCTGGCTACTCGGCTCGCGTCCACTTACTCTACTTATTAAAGTCTTTAAATTGTTCATTGATGACAGACTATGGCACTTAATGGCTAAATACTTCAAGAGTATATTAAATGGTTACTACTAAGTAATTAAGAATTGCATATAAATGATTTCCTTTAATCAAAAGATAATAAAAATCATGTCTCAATCAGTTCAAAATTTTACGATGAAGACCCTTCGGTAGATAATAGAATATTTAACCCGCTGCCGGCGATTCGATATCTCAAATCATTATCGTAAAAGCCGTGAGGCGCTCCGAGGCAAGATTAAGCCCGGCTTAATCCTAAAAAGCAGCTCTTGTCTAATTGCAACGAACTCATAAAGCACTACACCTATAAAGGCTAAGCGGTCGGATTCAAAATAATGTGTTTTACATTTTCGTACCGTCGGTATCTGCGACATAAAACGGCCTGTAATTTATTCTATTGCTGAAAGGGTTGGGTTGGCTCGGGGTGGGAATTACCCAAGGTGGGTGCTAAAGGGTTAAGCCGAATATACGGGGTCGCGGCGCCTGCAAACTTTGTTAATTTATGCGCTTAAAAATGTCAACTGAAAATTATGACGCCAAAACACATTTCCTATTTGTATGATTGTGATTGTTGTGATAATACTTTATTTTGTTTGTTTATAATACTTATAGCAATTTATTTTTAAGTAGGAAGATACCGAAGACAGATTAAATAGACAGTTGAGACAGAGTGACTGATTTTGTCAGATTTGATTTGAACTTAGGAACATGAACATTTGAAATAGAATATTCAAAACATTTGCACACAAAGAAACTTTAGGTAAACTTGAATCCACAATATGAACAGTCGGGATGAATGGAGCTCAACAATTGAGGAGTGTCGTCTGCGATAAGGCGCGAAGTGTACAAGCCGCGAGGGGGGCTCGTCTCACTCATTATTTAAATATTCTGATGAGTGCGTTAAGTAGCGCGTTAGCGTTAGTGGAGCGTTTCACGGGATAACTCTTAACGCTATTTTAGTGTAGTGTTGTAGTTTTGTTGATTGAATTTTGAGCAGGTTGAGGGTGGAAACTAGGGCCTGATGAGACTGTTTGGTTAGCAAGTTTTAGCAGAATCTGACATCTAAATAATGACATAGAACTCATTTAATTTGCTTTCTATTTGTTCAGGTATAGCCCACCAGTTAGCGGGCCTACCGGGCGGTGAATGGGGAGCGTTAGCGCGCCACTATCCTCCGCCCCTGCTACCTACACCAGCGCACTTTACGCCGCATGTCCTGCCGCACGCGCAACCTCAACATGTACCTCCTCCGCCACACGAGACTGGTACATTACCCCTTGAACTTAATAAACTTGTTGTTATTCTATTTTTTATCTGAATGTAGTCATAACTGGAATATTTTTTTTAGATGTGACGTCAGAAAATCCCATAACAATGCACGCGCACAGTACGACGAGTCCGGCTAACTCGCGTCCAAGCTCACCGCAAGACGATGACATCTCAGTCACTGCATCCAGTTCCCCGCCGCCTGATGACCGTCCTGGCGCCTTCACATCGGTAACCAGATCACGGAAACCGATGCAGCCCTTACCAGCACCCTCCAGTCTTTTCCACAGTGCACTTGCAGCTCAGTTATTCCTTAATTCCCCTCTACTGCCTACTCCACCCGCGTGGTTATACTCCCAATTATATGGAGGCTACGACTGGTGGCTAAGACCGCCTCCACCACAAGAAGACTCCAATCATTCCAGCCCCGAGAGAGAAGATGAAGGGTCAACAGCATCAGGCACAGGGAAGAAACGTCCAGCCTCGCCAGAGTGGTCGGAACAAGGGATGAGGACTCGTAGCAAATCTCTGATCACGTCAGAAAGACGACCAGTTGATGTGTGGCGTCCTTACTAGTCAGTGTTTGTGGCATTTGTAGGAGAAGTCTACTGTCCACTGGTATGTATCATTATGGGTGTATGGAATACTTTATCCCAGAAGAAAATTTATCAGGCGTTCGTGGCACCTTTAGCTTTTTCTTTTGTGAAAATTGCAACCCCTAGTACGAATCGTTAAGAATATCTAGGACTCTAAATACGAACAATTATGAACTTAAAGTGTTACTATGTGGAAGTTTTAATAACGGAGGTTATGATAATACGTGTAGTGGACAGTTTTAACTTTAAACGTTCGGCATTCCCGTCCCGAGTGAGACATTCAGACACTTGAAAAATGTGCGCGTCTTAAGGATAGGATTAAATAGTGTTTATTGTCGATCGATAGGTGTTTTTACGTTAGATAACTGAATGTGAATTTCAAATCGTAACGTTTAATGAATTGTTGACTGTATTATAAGATAATGCAAAAAGTGTAAATAAAGTTATCGAAATTTTTATACTGCAGTGTTTAATTTGATAAAATGTTACTTAATTTACAGTATAGATGTCAATGTGAGTATAATAGTACTATAACAATGATTTATTCATAAAAAGTAGCCACAAAAATAAATATTTTATAAAGCTGCGCGAGTAAAAAGTTTTGGATTGTGTCCATTATAGTCGAAACCACAGCGCGAGCTATTTGGCACAGGTCATTGCGTCCAGGCATTATCAATGTATGGAAATGAAATGTTTTATCGCCGTGTATTTACGTACTGAGCATTTCATTAATTCATCAAATATTTATTTTTAATGTACAAACAGGTCTATTATGGTACACTATTTGCGTCATATTTATTACAATATTGCAAGACCTTCTTGTACCTACTTAGATTATCAAAATTGTGGAAAATGGCATATGTTTAGACAATTTACATAAGTCAACATGTAAATAGTACCAGTGGTAATTGAAAAATGCTACGTCTAAACTTTTTCACAATAAATAGTGTATTAATTTGAGACAATACCTATAAAGTAGGTTGTAAAACTTGATTGGTTTAAATATCACTGTTAAAAGAGAACTTTGGTTCAAGAAGTAACCTAGTCCATTGAAATTGGTATTTTAAAATTCAATAGTATATGTAAAGGTTAGTCTTGTCACTTATTCTTTTATTTCGTCTCTATATCAATGTAGTTAAGGTTTCTTTTCAGTGGTCTAAGTTACTTCTATCTTACGTTCTCAAGAGATTCAAGTTATTTTAAATTCATTGTCTATTTTGGACAGACGCAAGACTGTGTTCCTGTACATCGTCTGTCTACAAAGTCCATAAGTCTTAACACACCATTTAATACTTCTGTGCCAGTTGAAATTATTTCCTCTTTTGGTAGCAAGAACCTATGTGTTTTTCCTCTAAGTTCCACCATGTAAGAGTACGGGATATTGGTGACGGCATAACTCCAATCGATACTCGTCCCTGCTGCGTAGTACATAAGGTCTTTTGTGCTTCCAACTTTATATGTGCGACCGCTTGTGTTGAAGATTGCCTGGAAAATTATTGAAGCAATTTGGTGATGACTACGCTTGTGGAAGGTAGGCGACATGTAAACATTATAGCAATCACATATTTAAGGTGGAATTTAAGCTAAAATTACATGCCAGCAAATCAAGGTAACCCATTCTGTAAACTTCCTTAGTAGATTTTCAATTCTATCGCAAAATAATAAGGTACAATCTTCTTACTTTGGCCATAGCGGTACCTCCTTCTAACAGCTCGACGTAGTCAGGACAAGGTTCACTAGTGTATCCCCACGGGAATATGATGACTTCTCCGTAACTATGGAAAGACAGGAACACCTTGAACGTCGTGTCAGCTTCTAGTATCTGACGCTGGAACACATATTCATTTATTTATATGAGTTTGCAATATAGATTGATTAGTTATAATGGCATAATACTGTTTTCAGCGAAATATAAATAACTTGTAATTTATTCTCTTATAAGACAATGCCTTAACAAAATATCATCCTGTATATTTAATAACTATGATATGAGGATTTTACTAACCCTGACAGCAGCTGTCTCTGGCTCGGAGAAGGCTTTTGGTCCTCTGTAGAACACATTACCAGGGTCTTCTGACGAACCTTCTTCTCCTTTCTCACCGAAACCATAGCTAAAACAAAACTCATTTTTTATTATTAGTTTTACTATTATTGCGGCACGGTCACGAATGTACTTTTGAAATACTGAAAGTTCAGACAAATAAGAGCACCTTCATACTAGCGTTTGTCCAGGGTAGGCGTTCGATAAACGTATGCGCCGTTAAGACATCGCGCCTGGCGTCGCATAGTAAATGAATTATACTCGACGTTAGCGCATACGTTTATTCTTATAATATGTAAATACCAAGCGTAAGAGTATAAGAACTCATATTAACGCAATACAGTAATAACTGGTTTACCTGAAGTTTCTATTTAGATCTACTCCCACGCATTCCCCGTAGCGCTTTCGGTTCTTTCGCCACATCCTATCATGCACGTGAGTGTACTCGTAGCCATCTGGGTTCATCACTGGTAGAATGTACCTGTATGTAAAGCAAGAGAATTATGTGAAGCATTAACAGGATCTAATTAATCTGCGTTTACAAATATATTGGAATTTTAACCCGCAAGGCATTCCATAAAAACCAATTCGATATTGAGGAATAGATCAAAATACGATCTAATGAAGACATTAGTAGACATTCAAGCTATTGCACAATAACATGTAATTTATTCTTATACAACCTTATCATTTGTACGTGCATTATTTTAAGACAGTCGCATATACATGTATGTTTGAATATTGCAGGAGATTTAAAGCTCTTTTCATTTAGGCGATTTTAACAGCGCGAGAGTCACGCTGTCAGAATTTCAAAATTTAAACAGGAGCGCGGCGGTCGCGCACTTCCACCGCTTGTTGAGACACGAGGACAGGACACTGAGGACACTGAGGTCCGCGATGAGCTAGTGTTGTAAATAAGTCGTTTTGCCATCTCCTAGCCTTTGTGGATAACGTTTGGTATTTGAATTGATGTTTACTTAGAATTGAAGTGCGTTACTAACGTTCTAATGTGAGGGGCACTTAGTCTTACCAGTGCCTGTCGATTCATCAAATAAAGAGACGGCTTATGTGTGTAAATTTTAAGCTCTAAAGATTATAAAATATTTCTTACCAGTCCTTATTAGTGACGCTATCTGGTTGTTCATTAAATGTCCTAACGATCCTATCAGCTAGGTATGTGACTACTGCAGGGCTGATCCACTCTCGAGGATGTATGGCACCGTCCATCCAAACGCCCACGTTGTTCGAATTACCATTAGATATTTTTAACATCTGAATAAAAATAAATATGGTAAAATAATGTAAGGAACTAGTATTATACCTGGTGAGTAATTAAAAGAGCATAATCATCGTCATTATTCACTGCTAAAGATGTCCATTGTTGTAAAGACTTTAATAAGAGCCTCGATGGGACTATAAGTGCTACTGTCGAATAAGTGGTTTCTCTGGGGCACCCAATAATAAGTTTAGAATAGTGATGATGACACGATATGATAATTAAAATTCTAATTAGTCAGTCAGTTAGGTAATGATAAAATATTAGACACGTATTTTTTATTTTGTCGTATAAGAAAATAATGCTTAGATAAAACAAATCAAAATTTAGGAGTGGGAGGTAGCTACGTCATTTTAGAGTACAAATCATACTCAACTCAAAAGTGACGTCATGCGATATTTCAAATCAATATATCTTCGGAACTATTCGTTTCCGTAAGAAAATAAAACATACGTGTTTTTAAATAATCTACCAGACGGATACTAAAATAAAAATTTGTCATCTACCCTATTGTTAAGACGAAATTCGCATAGAACTTGAAATTTACCTGTAAAATATCATCATTTAGTTCTACAGTAAAGTTGAAGTGAGTTTGTATGAGAACTCATGTAGATAAAAATAGGTAGATACCTAGTTCATGTCAGTACGTATAGCAGCTGTTATCAGCCTGGAGTTTCCCTATTAGTTCTAAACAAATGAACAAAAACAGGTAAACATGGGTATTTAAAACTGAAAATGAGGAAAAGGTATCAACATATTGCTCGCCAAGTGATCATCTGGTGGTAGTAGAATAGTACCTTTGTGACTACTTCTTTTTTGTGGCATAAGCCGGTAAAAGAGCAGACGGATCACGTGATGGTAAGCAATCGGCGCTGCCCATGGACGCCTCCTACTCCTCCTATTCCTCACGCGGATTTTGTAAAAGCCAATGGACTACATATTTGACAGACACCGGGGAGCAGCGTTCTCTTATGAACCTGAACCTTTTAAACTGTGATTACTAAACCTGCCAAGCATGGACTTTATGGTAAATTCTCCTATCACGAAGCAGTCTACAATTCAGTATGGGACTTTCACAATATATAATGAGTAATATAATGAGTTTATACACATGAAAAATGTTATGAAACGCTTACCTTTATATCCCTCCCCTCCGATGATTTCCCGATCACACTGACTGAACACAAGTACGGATATTCAATTGCCAAGTTGTCCATAAACTCATAAATCGTGTCCAGTCTGTGGTAACTCTGCCAATCCATCTTCTTATCTAAAAATGTGGTCACGTGTCAAATCGGTTAAGGTAAAATCGCTCTTATTACTTCAACAGGAAGATTTATTAACTGTCTATAATATTGAAATCATTTTGTCCAAAACAAACCGCTCGTTTTGAACGTCACTTACTTTATGATTACTTCGTGGTTTTATTTCACTAATCGTTGTATTGGGCCAATCATTTAATTTGTGACCGCGCGCTGGCTGGTCTGACTATCATAATACTGAGTTCATTACGTTTTAATTTGTTAATAGTACTAATGAATGTAATACTGTTACTGATAATTCGATTACTTAATTGCTCGCTATATTATATAATTATGTTAGGAATTTATATTGTATTGTAACGAGTTAAGTTAATACCATAAATTTAAATTCATTTATCTATCTAAATAAAAATGAATCACTGAAATACGAACAATACGAGCATAACTCTGAAACTACTTAACCAAATTGGATAATATAATTTTTGTAATGTTTGTCACTGTTAGGACACAGTTTTTATGAAAGAAAAATCAACACATTCATCGGCAACATAGGATAATAACACCAGAATGAAGATGGAATGGGTTACTTGTTGTATTTAGTCACTACTATTTAAAAGAATAGATAATTGCTAATATTTACAAATTATTGTACGTGTAATGTTTTTGGCGAGAAGTTGATGTAACACTTCTGCCATCACGTAATTTTTGGTGACATGAAAATATATAATATTTCTGTACTTACGGTCTCCGACAGTAGAAGACCTCTTGAAGGTCTTTGACACGGCATGACCCTGTTCCCTTTCCAGCAGGACAGACACGTCTGGTATGGCTATTGAGTATGGTATGTCCCTTTCATGGAGTATGCCAGCCACTTGGGCCGTCCGAGGGCCATTCACCATAATATCCATTGTACTACGTTCCTCTTTCCATATATTTATTGCTGCGAAGTCGGTGTTAATTTTAAGTTTTAGGATGTTCCGATTTGTCACAATGGTACCCTAAAGAGTTCTAAAGCTATAATAATGACTGTCCCTATTTAATTATTTTCTTAGTCAATCTAGTCTGGAGTATTTGGGCTTGAATTATTTGAATTGATGATAACTTTTCACCGAGATGGGGTGTGGTTGTCATTAGGGGCCTGCTGATGAAGTAGTGTGGTAGCTAAGGGAACTCCTCAACGGTTAACTGTAGCTACCTTGTATTTGGGCTTGAATTATTAGTATTGATGAGACCTTTATTTATTTGTTTTATATAATTGCATAAGGAGGACTTAATGCTAACAGCATTCTGCCGGTCATCCGTTGGGTAGAGCAGAAATGTATGTGGTAGGTGGTAAGCTACAAAAAGGTTATGGGTGGTAATGGTATAACTATCAAAATTATTACATAAGCATAAACAAAATACGTACATAATAATATATATATTTATGAATATACATATACATATATGTATAAAATTATCCTAGAATACTACAAGATGAGAAATTATAAAGGATGTTCAGAAACTGCCATCTTCCTGCTAATGTACTCACGTGCCCTCCGCTTGGAACTCAAACGGCTGGTTGTGGTTCTGACATCCGCGGGAAGCGTGTTCCACAGAGAAATGACTTGTATGAAGAGAGAAGAATGAGTAAAGTTAGTGCGATGGACAGGACAGTGCAAAAGCCGATTATGTGAGGAGACTTTTCATTTAGATGGAGTGTGATTACTATTGAGATTTGATGATGAAGTAGTACGATAGTTGAGAGAAGTCCTTAACGGTTAACAGTATCTACCTTGTGCTTGAGCTATATTAATTTGTATTGATGAGAACTTTACACCGAGATGGGGTGTGATTGTCATTAGGGGCCTGTTGATGAAGTATGATAGCTAAGGGAACTCCTCAACGGTTAGGTAATAGTGGCTACCTTGTATTTGAACTTGATTAATTTGTATTGATGAGAACTTTACACCGAGATGGGGTGTGATTGTCATTAGGGGCCTGCTGATGAAGTATGATAGCTAAGGGAACTCCTCAACGGTTAACAGTAGCTACCTGGTGTTTGGGCTTGAACAATTGATACTGATGAGAGCTTTGCACCCATGTGGGTTATACGTAGTATACCGGATCTGTATACTTAGCCTTGTACTAAAATAAAAAATAAAAATAAAAACTGCGTTTAAAAAATACCAATTTTAAAAAAGCAAAATTAAAAACAAACAAAAGGTAACAACTAAAAAGCAAGAACTAACTACTATTAGTCACACGTACTGATAATTTACGCACCCACTGATAGGTTAGAAGTTGGTGCCTAATAATAGTTATTTTTGCTTTTTTGTTATTATCTTTTGTTTGTTTGTAAGTTTGGTTTTTTTTTACTAAATTAACTATCTTCGTTCGTGTTTAGTCTAATACTGTCGGAGTACGCACCTCCTACAGTATCCAATGTTTTCACAAAATGTCTTTGACCTTCCTTAACTAATCTCACTTCCCATACTTGGGTGTTAGGAACCGTTGGTGCCACTTTGATGGGGTTATATAAACTTTTAGATTAAAAGGATTGTGTGTATGGAGCACTAGGAATTTTGAAACTGTTATTGTGGCTGAAAATCCGGGTATTTTTAAAGTGACTGAAAATTTTGAAGTGCAGTGTCAAATACATATGTGACATTGTCATCAATGAAGGAGTTTCTTACAACGTACCTATTTGCTTTTAAATGAGGTGAGGGAACAAGTGTTAAAAACAGAGGTTCATAGTTTTTTTTATGAAGGATTATAACGTTCTTTGAATTATGCACGAAAAATCGAGGAAGCGCTGCCCTGCACGCTGGGTGGGAAGAAGAAGTGGAAAGTGGCAGTGGTATGAATAGGAATATGTTCAGTTGCTTATTAACCAACAAGTTACAATATTAAACCGATAAGTTTATCAGAACAGAATACAGAACCGTTGAATAACGATTAGTTTTTGGTAATGGGTAGGCGTTTGTCCGCTATCTAGTCAGCGATGTAGTAGCTAGTAAGCGATGATGCGACCTACGATGAAGCACACCTGCCCACAAGTAAACTATTTACTCGAGACTATATATCACTGTTTAAACATGCATACCTTCGAAAAGGTACTAGAAGAGACCATACTTTGTCCTTTATTAGCGCGTTGTCTCTGTTCAGATAAGTTTTTCAAAACCAGAGAATTCTCTCTCTGCCAGAAAGAATCATCAGTGTCCAAGGAAACATTATTACTATCATCAGAATCCACCTGAGCATTGGTTTCTTTCGTAAACACATCAAATTTATTTATTGACTCTACTTTATTTATCATGGTCTGACTGCCATTATTAGGAGGTGACTGACTATCTGCTAAGAAAAAACAGTCATTCCCGAAGTCTTGAGTAGATTCCTTCAAGAAAATATCATCTTCATAACGGAAAGAATCAGCTTTATCTACATCTTTACGGCGACGAGAATCTGTTTTCTTCATATAAGTACCACTAGCATCACGAAAATAATATTTTTTTCGAATAGATTTATTATTTAAGCACAATGACGAATCACTGGTGTCGCTTGCAAGTCTGATCAGTTTCGTATCCTCATAGAAATAATCATCATCATCCAAGTCTATTGTTTGTGCTGTAACATCATTTTCGTCCCTTGGATAATGGTCGAGGCTATCACTACCGACTCTAGTAAAGTCATCATGCATATGTATAGGATTTTCCTTCTTCAAGGCTACATTGGGCCATCTAATGTATGAGTTGTCCCGTTGCATGAAAGAATCACTTTCTTTTGCATAGGAATAGTTTATCCTATCGTAAGATTTACGTTTTCTTATATGGGAATCAGTCTGGGCAATATCGGAGAAGCTGTTATTCACTATCAGCTTATTATTATTTATTAATAAATTTTCTTTGTGTAGTTGTTTCTTAGATGAGTAGGAATCGACAAATTCCATCAGCGCTTGAACGCAGTTGTATATTTCGTTACCAGTCTCTTGAATTTGTTCTTTTGGTAGTTGGAATTTGTGTTTCTTGCTTCTGAGTTCTATAAGGTAGCAGTAAGGTATACCGGCTGCTGCATGGGCAAAGTCGTTGCTAGTACCGGCTGCTCCGTACATTACGTCTCTTGAAATGCCGACTTTGTATGTGTTGCCATTAGTATCATAAATGGCCTGGTAAGCAAGATGATTACGTTATTTTTCTTATGAAATACATAGGTGATATTTACCTCAAATATCAATATGTTTGTTTGAACACTTGTTTTGATTAAGCTAGTTACCTTTGACATAGCAGTAGCTCCTTGGAGAAGACGTACATAATCTGGAGCCAGTTCATGACTGCAAGCGTACGGGAATATTATGATTTGTCCGTAGCTGTGGAGTGTTAAGTATACTTTGAAGTTTATTCCTGAGTTCATGAATATGTCCTGTAAGGTAAAACGTTAACAATATCGTAGTCACAGATTCAGATTGTATGAACTTCAGTATGTTCGCCATCAATATACTACAAATAGTGTTATTGGGTTTTAACATTATTGAGAACATTACTTACCAACTACGTGAATATATACAATACATAATCCTACCAAAAAAGTGTAATTAATAATATATTTCTATAAATTATGTTATTACTGTATTATTTAATCATTAACCAGAAATGAAAGCTGACACACCTATTAAAATGTCTACATAATAATGAAAATTCCATGAATTGCAGGTAGCGCTTTAAAGCGCAAATAGCGAATTAATTTAATGTAACAGAATGATTTAAAATCACCGTGAAAATTGATTTACGGCTAAACCCTGTTTGCAGTTTAATCTCTACGTGCAATGGCAACGACACGAAATCGGCATCAACGGCATATTACAGGCAAATGATCGCGGATGCTTCACTCCACTGATCATTGTGAACGATCTAAATGTTTTGAATAGTCACTGCTTCCTGGCACTACCTATCAGTACAATACAAATTGCAGGTTTATCATAAATAGGAATTCTTTTTATATTTTAGATAAAATATTTTGTATTCAACTGCTTTTAAATCTATTTACTTATATTTAACAAACACGCGTTCATCTACGACGCATATCAGTTGTCATTTGTTTTTAAAGAATATTATTACTCTATGACCTGTATCAATTATTCTTAAGAAATGCTCGAATTCATTATTTACGACCAATAATCTTCAGTATTCGTTGTTCATCTGATTTCTCGGTCAATAATAATTATTGTTAAACCGATATAAATAAAATAATAAAATAATACCCGTATAGCTGATGATTCTGGCTCAGAAAATGGCTCAGGACCTCTGTAGAATGCATTTGTGGGTTTATCTGATGATCCACGGCCACCCCAACCGATACTATGAAACAACATGACAAATATGTAGCAAGAGCTAACCTCATAAAAGACAATATAATTAGTGAAAGTGAGTTGATCGAAGTCGAAACTATTTAGTTGGAAAAAGACTACAAAAATAGAATAAAATGAAAATACAATAGTAGCCAACCTGAAGTTTCTATTAAGGTCTACTCCCACGCATTGACCGCCGTGCCATGCACGATTTTTACGCCACAAGCGATCAGTGGTGTGCGAGTAGTGGTATCCATCTGGATTCACCACTGGTAGAAAATACCTAGAATTTAAGAGGCTGTCAAAATTAGCCCTAAGGGATACATCAATTATGTATAGTTTATGACTATGGAACTTGCTGGTCAAAAAAAATTAATTAAAAAGCTCAGAGTCCGTGGTATTTCTCTTTTTTTTTATTCTAGAAGTTAAGTAATACTTTTCCTATCCAAGAACGAAATGCTTGCTTTTGGAAGTACCATAAATACAAAAAAGTGTTAGTGTAGTGTTACCAAAGGTGTAGTTCAGATTTATGAAGTAATTACCAGTCCTTATTTCTGATGCATTCAGGAAGGGTGTCAAAGTTCCTGCTGATATGGTTGGCGAGGTACGTGTTGACGGCGGGCGCGATCCACTCTCGCGCATGAATACCCGCGTCCACCCACACTGCTGAGTTGCTTGCGTTGCTGTTAGAAATCTTTAGGATCTAGGTACAGACAGGAATAATCTAAACTGATGCTTAAAAAGAACAGCTCATCAAATTACATTGTATGTAAATTCTAAATTGTATCTTAACAATTCGTGAGGAAGGTCTGATGATCTGACTACACCAACGCATGAAGCAAAAACTATGATCTGTGGGACAAACAGTACTTTTTTAAAGTTAAACTTGCTTATGGTTCAGATATTTAAAAGAAAAATGTCACCTTTAGCAATCGACCTTCTACTGACGTCCCAATGATACCTGTAGTGCATAGTGAAGGGAAGTCAGCTTCTAAGTCATCCATAAATTTATGAATAACTGATAGCTGGTGGTAGTTACGCCAATCCATGACCTCGTCATAGTGCACCGATTTGACTTTCTCATCTTTCAGATAACATACAAGTAGAAGGGTATTTACAATACATATTGACAGAGTTGACTTAATAATGAATGGAAGTTCAGGTAAAGAATAAAATTACATACCTCTTGGTACATTAAAGTTTATCTTCTTAATCGGAGTACATTTCTTCATTCTAGATTCAATGATGACAGGGTTATTTATGAAGTTCTTATCAATATAGCATTCTATAATAGGTCTGGTTGGGGCATCTTCTGCAGGGCCATAAACAACCCTTTGTTTATTCTTCTTTGTTTTAGCTGCACCTTTGTTTCTGTTATCTTCATTGTCTTCATTAGTGTCGGGGTCACATTTTATATTTAGGTTGTTATGGGGTTTTGGTTTAATGGGTCGTGGCATGTTTGACATAACACGCTTCCGATGGAAGTCATTCCCAGCTATGTTCGATTTTCCTGAAGTTTTCTGCATGGCTGATCTATCAGAAGAATAAACTTTCGAAAATAGCGAATGGAACAGTTTCTTTTATTTGTGTGCAAGATTTGACTTTTGGTGGTTGTAGCATATCTGGTGATGGGTCCATCGTTTAGATATGGTTTAGTGTATGTGTAACGTTTTTTTTTAGTTTTATTTACAATTTAAACACCTAACATGGTTCAACAATTTGAGATTTGGTTGATTTATGTCATTTGATTTTGACATGCT